TGACGCCGATGGTCTCCAGGAAGTTCTCGAAGTGCTGGCTGTCCTTCTCGGGGATGAAGGGCCGCAGGCCTGGGCACACAGCGGGGACACAGCAGGTGAGTGCTGGGGCTCCTCACCCGGGCCATTCCTGAGCCCCCTGGGAGGGACAGGGACCCCCAGGGTGCCCCACTCACTCACTCACTCACACCTGGGGCTGCAGCCACTGCTCACCGAGGGCAAAATCGGCTCTGGTGGGACTTCCTGAGCTCCAAACCATCTAATTCCTCACCTGCCATCCTGCTGGGCTTTGCTGGGCTTATCCCAATGATTTGTCCCATCAGGGACATCTGTTCTGCCCCCTCACTGTCCCCAGGGGTGAGGGGGACCCACTACTCTGGTTCTGTTAATTTTAAATTCCTGACTGCCTTTTCCTTGGCCAGGTGAGAGGACACCAGGTGCGGTCAGACACTGCTCCTGTCCTGGGAGGGTTCTGTGTTCCTGACCCATTTTCCAAGGATATCAGAGGCCAGGTTCTTTAAATATCCCTGCTCTGGAGAGGAGGTCTCCTGGCCTGGAGATTTCCAGGTCTGAATTAAATTCCCTGGCTCTGGAGGAGGTTTCTAGGTTTGGAAGAGAGTCTGGAGGAGCTTCCCAGGCCTGGATTGGGGTGCCTGGATCTGGAGGAGCTTCCCAGGTCTGGATTGGGGTGCCTGGATCTGGGGGAGGCTCCCAGGCCTGGATTGGGGTGCCTGGATCTGGAGGAGGTTCCCAGGCCTGGATTAGGGTGCCTGGATCTGGAGGGGGTTCCCAGGTTTGGATTGGGGTGCCTGGATCTGGAGGGGGTTCCCAGGCCTGGATTGGGGTGCCTGGATCTGGAGGAGGTTCCCAGGCCTGGATTGGGGTGCCTGGATCTGGAGGAGGTTCCCAGGTCTGGATTGGGGTGCCTGGATCTGGAGGGGGTTCCCAGGCCTGGATTGGGGTGCCTGGATCTGGAGGAGCTTCCCAGGTCTAGATTGGGGTGCCTGGATCTGGAGGGGGTTCCCAGGTCTGGATTGGGGTGCCTGGATCTGGAGGGGGTTCCCAGGTCTGGATTGGGGTGCCTGGATCTGGAGGGGGTTCCCAGGTCTGGACTGGGGTGCCTGGATCTGGAGAGGGTTCCCAGGTCTGG